AACACAGTGGTTGCACCATTTTACACTTTCACCAGCAGTGAATAAGGGTTCAAGTTTCTCCACAACCTTGCCGCATTTGTTGCTTGCTGTTCTGTTAAATTTTGCTATTCTGTCTGGGGTGAGATGATTATCTCATAGTTGTTTTGATTTGCATTTCTCTTAGAGCTAGGGATTTTGAACATTTCTTCATGTGCTTGTTGGCCATCTGAATGTCTTCTTTGGTGAAGTGTCTGTTCATCTTCTGTGCCCATTTTTCTATTGGATTACTTACCTTTATGTTGTTGTGGTGCTCAAGTATTTTATAAATCTTGGATATAAGTCTCTTATCTGTTATATCATTACCAAATACTTTTTCCCAGTCTGTGGCTTCCATTTTTACCCTGTTGGAGAAGTTTTTGGATGTGCATCCCACTTCCTTTCTTAATAAACCCCACTGTTGACACCATAACTCTGAGTCAGCAATGAATAAAAGAACCTCTTGCTGTTGTTGGTGGAACTCACCAGGCACCATGGGTCTGAGCTACTGATTTGCTTTCTGCTCTGGGAGAGTGAAGGGGCTGTGCTGTTCTTACTCCCTCTGACCCTTTCAGAGAGATGCTCACAGCCTTATGCACACATGGCCTGTTTTCTCTTTAGACATGGTCAAATGCTGGGTATATGGAGAGAGTCCAGTTTGACATGAGGTGTGAAAAGACAGGAGCCAAGAGTGACTCCTAATATTTTGCACCTGAAGGATGGTACTGCTTTCCTTTCAAAGATATAATGACTCATTGTTTGAAGGGTTTGGGGAAGATCAAGAGTTTGGTCATTTTAAGTTTGAAGTGCTCACTAGATAGATGTCAAGTAGAGTTGAATAGAGGAATCTGGAGTTCAGAGGGAAAGTTTAAGGGGAAGATAGAAATCCAGGGGTCCTTATGGTAGAGATGTTTATCACTAAGGAAGATAGGAAGAAAAGCAGCCCAAGAGCTGAGCCTGGAGGGCACTTATCAAGACTGTGGAGTCAGTTTGTAAGCCATCAGGACAGGAGAAAGCAAGCAAGCATGTGGCCTCCAGTGAGTTATCAGTCTGCTAAATGCTGCTTATCACTGAGCACCATGAAACCTCTGGCAACACCTGTAGGGGCTTTCAGTGGAGGGTGGGTGGATACCAAGCTCCAGCCAGAGTGGGTGCGAGAGAACACACCCCAAATAGTAAGACTGTTGTTTCATCATGTACTTTTAAACACTGGGCTGAGGGGACAGAAACAAAGAAAAGGCTGCCAAGTACTGTTACCAGAGCTGCCAGAAAGCCTCCTTCAATTCCTCCTCTTCAGCAATCACCAGCGGCACAGGGAGAGCCAGAACTGAGGGACACATGATCACTCAGCACATTCAGTTTGAATGGCTCTGGTGCCTTAGTGGTAAGGAGTTGCACTGCCAACCCAAAGGCATGTGGTTCAAATCCACCCGTTGTTCATGGGGGAAAGAAGGGCAAGCTCTTCCTGTGCGATGAGCTGTCAGTCCTGACTCTATGTCACATAATATCACTCCTAAGGACCTGAGCAGATTATTCAGGAGGCTGGGCTCTATGAGGAGAATTGTAGCATCAGGATTGGTGGAAGATCTATCAACAGTCTGTGTTATGCAGATGACACAACCCTGCTTGCTGAAACTGAGGAGGACCTCATGCACTTGCTTCAGAGGGTCAAGGACTGCAGCCTTGAGTATGGACTGAGGCTCAATGTCTAGAAGACAATGATTCTCACCACTGGACCAATTGGTAGCATCAGGATGGATGGTGAAGAGATTGAGATTGTTCACAGCTTCAGTTTGATCGGCTCCACGGTCAACACTCTTGGCACCAGCAGTCAGGAAATCAAAAAACATATTGCGATGGGAAAGTCTGTTAGGGACCTCTCTAAAGTACTCAAGAGCAATGGTGTCTCTCTGGAGACTAAGGTGCGCCTGATACAGGTCATGGTCTTTGCAATCACTTGTTATGCATCAGAGAGTTGGACAATGACTAGGGAGGATAGAAGGAGAATCGATGCCTTTGAGCGAGCTGTGGAGCTGGAGAAGAGTATTGAATGTACCATGGACTGCCAGGAAAACAAACAGATTCATCTTGGAGAGGATTAAACCAAGCAACTCCTTGGAGGCAAGGATTCTGGGGCTTCATCTGACATACTTTGGGCATGTTGGAAGGAGGGACAGGTCCTTGGAGAGGGACACATGGTTGGGAGGGTGGAGGGACGGCACAAGAGGGGAAGACTCTCTATGAGATGGATTGATTCAGTGACTGGGGTAATTGGGATGGGTGTGTCAGAGGCAGTGCAATTGGCACAGGATAGAGCTGGGTTTAGGGATGTTGTACATAGGGTCGCTATGAGTCGCAAACGACTCAATGGCACATAACAGCAACAACAACAAGGACGTGAGTCACTGTCACAGAGGCAGTGTCTACACACACTTTTTTCAAAAGACACAATGAACACAAAGGATGCTCCCACAGCAGGAAAAAAACCAACCCCAAGCCCATGACAACAAAGCTGGATTCAAATTGGGGTTATCAATACACAGTGTCTTGTACATTCTTTCCCAAAAAAAGTCCTTGGGCAGTTAAATGACACACGACATGAGTCCACTTGGCAAATCAAAGTTTATATGATTGAAAGGAAAAAGTTACATTACATACACTTATTTAAATAAGAAGCCAAAATCTGGTACATAAAACATCATTATGACACATTTAATATTTTCTTATTAAAACTACTCAACAGGCTCAAAGTAAAAAAAGATGACATTAAATTGCTCAGGAAATAAAGTGCACGGGGTAGCCTGCCCACCGGCCCCGCCTCACCACCCAAGCCCACGGGAGATGACAGGCAAGGTCTTGCCCTAGGGATAAACCACTCTGCAGATGGGAACTGCTTCCCGACTTAATCTTTCAGTGGACAAACTGAAAACCAGAAGCCTTTTATAGACGGTATTTCTAAATCTAATCGGGAAATGGAAGTGTAAATTAAAACAACTAGTTTCAAAACATTCTTAGAAAGTACATTTCTCAGAGATGATGGTGAGACTCAACCAAATTACTCAAAAGACCTCATATTATTATCCAACAGATTACTTTGTATATCATAATTTTTTTTAAAAACAGACAAATTTGATGCTATTTATGGCACGCCCAAATTATTTAAGTTATGGCTGGGAGAAAAGATTGGTTTGGTTGGGGAAAATACATACATTGAACTGTGGTTTTCTTGCAACTGTACTGTCTCAGGACAAGTAGGAATACTCAAATATGAAAATGTCCAAAAATGCAAAAACCTTTTAACACATTGCCGCACACTTTTAAATTGACGACCATGCTTAAAAACACATTTGCCGTCATTTGCGGCAACGTGTTAAAATTATAGGCAGCACTTGTATACAGATACGTCAAACAGCAGTTGAGATAATAAAGGACACATGATGAGTAATCGATGAACATACTGTGAGTGACCAGGCAAGGACAGTTATCAAAGACTGAAGAGACATGGAACACAAAACTTAATGACAATTACCAAATATTTCCTCTTACCATCATTTTGATACAGGCAAATGCCAATAACTCAAAGGCAAAGTCTAAATATATATACTGCACAGTAAAAAAGATTCCCAGGCTAGCCAAATAGTGCAACATTCCATATGTTTCTTACTTAATCTGTGAATTTCTAAACAATATTTAAAAAAAGATTCAGTGGCTTACCACAGGACAGCACCTCGTGTGTATATATATCTAGGACATGTACTCATACCGCTTCAAAGCAGTGCCCAGGCTCTACTTCTAGGCAGACGGCAAGACTTCACTTAACACCTCATTCTGCTTTCTTTTGTGTGATCAAGGTTTTCCCTCCACACAAAAAGGATGAAGGGACAGCTGCGTAGCAAGTCTGCCCTTCAGCATAGCCAGCATCTCCAATAGTTCTTAATAGTTAATGAAGGAATCAGAACACTGGAACTGGACAGCTGCACATGCACTTCAGACGAGCTGGAACTGAGGTGAAGATGCCATTCAGCCAGTGAGGACATTTCCTTTTGCATGAAACTGTTCTACCCACAATATATACTACGGATAAGGCCACATCAAAAGAAGTAAGTTTACAATTTACAAAGTGGCCAAGTGTGTTTACATTATCTTTCTGGCGTTTTAGATACAAACAGGAAACTGTGACTGGTTTGCTGTCAGCAGAGCAATGGCCCAAGAAGACAAACATTACAACACAGACACGCAAATGGCACAGCAGCTCGCTTCTCTCTCAGCCTTGACGACAGTATCTTACACTTTCCTGTGGGGTGCACTGGTCACACCAAAATTTTAGCTCCTTGTGCTGCAAGCTCTAGAAGGAATGGTTACTTGGAATTTCGCTTGAAGATGTTACAAAGAAGGTGACCACAAAATGTGTCGTCCCTTTATCTCTGAGAGGCCCTTTTCAACCAGTTCTGATCCTAAAAAAAACTTACATCTAGATCTAAAAGGCCTGATTAAAAACTTTTGATTCTTTACCGGTTGAAAAATGTGCCAAGATTATGACAAGAAGGTCATTATAAAACTATTATTAAACACTGAAAAGCAGGTTGTAAAATAATCTCACCTAGAAAATGGTGTTTGAGCACCAATAATAAAAAAAGTTTTTATAGAAAATAGTATAAAAATTAGTACCCTGTTTCATTTATACAAAATATGAATAGAAAGGTTGCAAAAATCCGATTTTGTAAACTTTATTGCCGAAATGTTTCCATGCTGGTGATTTTAGCATACCAAAATTTTCATTTCATGAACAAAAAAAAAAAATATTCTGAAACTACAAATGATATTGAACAGGGTCCCAACCAAGAAAGAAAAGTTAACTTACTTTCATCAGAACCAGCCCCTAACACTCAAACACAGTTTGTTTTGTTTTTTGAGAGCAAATAAATTATCAGTCCATTTTTGTATCACTTCCATTCCTGAATAAAAGTATTTTTTAAAAATCCCGTTCATTCCCTGGCTGACTGTTCAGGCACAGACTGTGGCGTGGTCCTGAGTGGGCTTCCAGGTTTTTCCGCAGAGGCAATTCTGTTTAGTTTGCCCACCTCTGCCTGCCAGCCAGGGACCTTCTTGGTAGTCAAGTGCCGCCGGGCATGCTTGGTCAAGTGGTCACTGCGCATGAACCGCCGATCACACACTGGACACACAAACTTCTTCTCCCCCGTGTGAGTTCTGCGGTGGCGGGAAAGTTCATCTGAACGAGCAAATTTTTTGTCACAGCCATCCCAGCTGCAATTGAAAGGCTTCTCCCCTAAGAGGTGAGGAAACATGTATTAAACAAGAAGCAAATGTTCCATATCTGAATGTATAGGTTAATACATGTAGTTTTAAAATCTGTTTCCTCAAAAACTCAAAGGAAAAAGGTAATTATAATTACTCTGGTTACACACCCTGGAGTCAGAACCCCCTCATCGCTCACCTCTCAGTCGGTTTTCAGAGGCAGTAAACTGCATTGGAGGAGATCACTCATCTTCCTCTCTCAGAGCAGCTGGTGGATTTGAACTGCCTGTCTTTGGGTTGGCAGCACAATTCTTTAACACTAAGCCACCCGCTTCGTTTTACTGTTGTTGTTATGTGTTGTCTAGTCGACTGTGACTCATAGCAACCCTATGAACAATAGGTCTGAACCCTGCCCTATCTTGAGCCAATTTGTCTATGACACATCTGCCCCCACTGCCCTGGTCACTGTGTAAATCCATCTTCTCCAGGGTCTTTCTCTCCTACACTGACCTTTCCAAGCATGATGTCCTTCTCCAAGGACTGATCCTTTCTGGAAACATGCCCCAGGTGTGTGAGATGGAGCTTCACAATCCTTGCCTCCAAGGAGCAAGCTGATTTCACCCTCTCCAGGACAGACGAGCTTGTTCTCTTGTCAGTCCATGGTATATTCAGTACTCCTCTCCAGCACCGTAACTCAAAAGTATCATCCTTAGTTACTGTCTACCTCTCAGATGTATACTGGCAATTGAGAAGACGCTGACATTATTTCTCCTTAGCACTCTGGAGAGGTCCCTGACAGCAGACTGTCCTAAAGCAACTCATCTTTTGATTTCCCATTTTATTACTTGTGATTAATTCCTTTTTATTCTCTTATTGAGTCATACAAAAGTCAAGAAATTAATTTAAAAAGACAGACACTTCCCCCTCCACCATCTAAAATTTAATATGGCAAGGTTCAAAGATGGCAAACTAATCTTTCAAAAAAGATTCCTAACTAAAAATACATGTTACACTGTAAGCAGCAGCCAAGATTCTTGAAAGAATAACTTCCCTGAGCAGTGGCCAGTCCTTGGAAAAAGACAGCATGCTGGAAAGGTCAAGGTCAGTGCAGGAGAGAAGACCCTGTAGGACATGGTTTGCAGAGTGATTATAACAGTGAGCTGAGCATGACAGATGGTCAGGATGGTACAGAATAAGGAAAGGTTCCAGTCTATTGTCGTAAGGTTGCTCAGAGTTGTCAATCTGATGGCATATAAGGAGATGAACTGCAAATTAAAAAAATCCCTCCTGTGGCCTAGAAGACTGCTCCTGATTACAATGATTACACTCCTTCACATTTCTCATATACAGGATAGTAAATTACAAACTGTAAGGGTTAGAATTCGAATATCTACCTTGTAACAAACTTCACAGCTAAAGAACAGTGTAGCAATTTCATCTTTGTCATTAATTTATTCAAAGTTGCAGAGCACCCAGCAGGTGCCAGGGACTTCTCATCCTGGTGTTATGGGGCAGCAAAGATACCCCCCACCCAGGGAGCCTTCCACCAGCCCTGCAGCAGGAGTGGGCTCTCAACCATGCCTGTGAGGTCCGGTAAGCACATGTTCCAACATGGCTAAGCATTACTACATAACCTATCATTTCCATGGATTTTTGTCTCATTTATCCACCTTGGTACAGTTGAGCTTCCAGCACAGCACTTGGCTTATAAATGGTTTCCACTGAAGAAGTGTTCAAGAGACCTCCAACTAAATAAGTATTTTATATTGTTCAACAGAAAAACTGAGTACCTTAACAATCTTCTCTGACCATTTCAAGGACCAGAGACTGCCGATTTCTGGGTCTGAAAGATTCCACTGTGTAAGCCCTAACATTCCTGGGAAACCAGCACCCATTGTGGGCAGCACATCAGACATCTCCATATTAGACAGACTGACAGCCCTTTCAGCATGTCATTTACCAAACGTCCTGTATGACAGCAATACCAATTTTTTTTTACAAAAAATTTTATTTTATTATTTTTGTATGTGTACTCTCACATTAGATCTGACTGGTACAGGAGGAGACTGTCCCTCCTTTTCCAGCAGAGCATCTGGTGAATTCGAACCGTGCACCTTTGGGATTACAGTGCAGCTTCCTGCCACTAAACCACCAGAGCTCCCTAATACTTATTTTTAACACATCCAAAATGGAGCCTTCACTCCCTCGACCTTATTCTGATTTATAAACTTTTCAAGTTAATGGTAATAACAAATGAAAAACAATCCTATCCAACATAACCATGTCTACACTTGTATTTCTTGCAAAAGGTGTCAAATTAACATCAAGATGATTTTTCAGAACTTTTCTGTTACTTTAAGTCAGTGTAACCTGGCGAAATGGAAAGGAGCTGGGTTTAAATCATCTTATTTTATGCCTTTCTGTCATTCCTTCTACCACAGCTATTTTATTGAATACACAGTAACGTTTCATTCAGCTGCCTCCCTCAATGTCAAATCTATGCTATTATGTGATCTGATGTTAACCTTGGTCTCAAAAAAAACCTCACTGTAGTTGAGTCAGAAGAGACTCGCGGCTGACTCTCTGCTGGATTTCAGTGGTTGTGATTACAAAGGTGGAGAATACCCATCTTTCTCCACAGTCTCTGGTTGACTCAAACTCAGGGAAGCTTGGCCACTGGCTGAGCACAGCAACTCCATCACCTCAACTCTTCTCTGTTTAGTTCTGTTACATTTTTACCTTGTACTCATCCCTCTGCCTCTACTGAATATACTGAGTCACTGAATCAAAAGGAATTGACAGGCACAGAAGAAGTCAATGAAATAACATATGAGCAAGAGCCTATGGTAATGAAGGAAGCTGATTTGAAAGAAATAGCAAAAAACAAGGCCCCAGGAATAGATGGTATACCATTTGATGTATTTCAGCTAACAGATGCTGCCCTGGATGTGCTCACCAAGTTGTGCCAAGAAATCTGGACAACCACTTGGCCAACTGACTGGAAGAGATCTATATTTGTTCCCATCCCAAAGAAGGGTGACCCAAGAGAGTGTGGAAACTACAGAACATTATCATTGATTTCACATGCAAGCAAGATTCTACTGAAGCTTATCCAAAAACAACTGGAACAGCACATCAGCAGAGAACTTCCAGAAGTGCAGGCTGGGTTTAGAAGGGACACTGCAGCTGATGTTAGATGGATCTTAGCTGAAAGCAGGGAATACTAGAAGAATGTCTATCTGTGTTTCATTGACTATGCAACGGCGTTTGACTGTATGGATCATAACAAACTGTGGCTGACTCTTGAGAAGAATGGGAATCCCAGAACACCTGATTGTGCTAACGCGAAACCTATACTTGGACCAAGAGGCAATCGTCAGAACAGAGCAAGGGAACACTGCATGGTTCAAAATCGGGAAAGGTATATGCCAGGGATGTATCCTATCTCCATACCTTTTCAACCTGTATGCAGAAGAGATTATCCGAGAGGCTGGGCTCTATGAGGAGAAGTGTGGTGTCAGGATTGGTGGAAGATCTATCAACAATCTGCGTTATGCAGATGACACAACCCTGCTTGCTAAAAACTGAGGAGGACCTGAAGCGCTTGCTGCAGAGGGTCAAAGACTGCAGCCTCCAATATGGATTGAGGCTCAATGTCAAGAAGACAAAGATTTTTACCACTGGACCAATAGGCAGCATCAGGATGGATGGTGAAAAGATTGAGATTGTTCACAGCTTTAGTCAGCTCGGCTCCATGGTTAACACTCTTGGCACCAGTAGCAAGGAAATTAAAAGACGTATTGCCATGGGAAAGTCTGCTGTTAGGGACCTCTGAAGAGCAATGGTGTCACTCTGGAGACTAAGGTGCATCTGATATAGGCCATGGTCTTTACAATCACTGTTATACACCAGAGAGTTGGACAGGGAGTGACTAAGAGGCTAGAAGGAGAATTGATGCCTTTGAGCTGTGGTGCTGGAGAAGAGTACTGAATGTACCATGAACTGCCAAGAAAACAAACAGATTCATCCTGGAGAGGGGCTGCTCCCTAGAGGCAAGGATTTTAGGGCTTCGTCTGACATACTCTGGACATGTTGTAAGGAGGGACAGGTCCTTGGAGAGGGACGTCATGCTTGGAAGGGTGGAGGGAAGACCCTCTATGAGGTGGATTGATTCAGTGACTGGGGTAATCGGGATGGGTGTGTCAGAGGCAATGCAACTGGCACAGGACAGAGCAGAGTTTAGGCCTATTGTACATAGGGTTGCTTATGAGTCACAAGCGACTCAACGGCACATAACAACAACACATACTAATGTTACCATGGGTAGATTATCAATTCTTGGTGTCAGACACCAGAACGTAACACTTGCGGATGATGGTTTCTCGGTCAAAGCAAGACATTGCTACTGAGTCAGAACTAACTCACAGCTTGCGTCTCCAGCAGGTTTCCAGAGGAAGGTCTGGTGGCCTAGTGGCTAAAGAGTTGTGCTGCCTACCGAAAAGCAGGGAGTTCAAGCCTCCTCGGGAGAAAGATGAGCAATCTCTTAGTGTGCAATGTTCAGTCTCTGAAAATCCGCTGGAAGGTTCTGACGCCATGGCAATAAGCAAGGGAGTGACTAAGTGAGCAAATCACATGGGTAATTCAGTAGAAAGGGGTGAGTGAGAGGTGGAAATGTGATGCAACTGAACAAAGAGGCGGGAAAGGGAAAATCCCCCCTCCCCGCCCCCGCAGAGGAAGAAAGACAAGTCTTCACAGGCCAAGTTTAAGGCCAGATTCTTAAGTAAACAGCCCACTTTTTCATGTGGAAGAACTGCAGGGTCCTCACTGAAAAGCCTGAATATCACATTGTACTTCATTCTGTTACACTAGATCTGCCATGATTAAATTACTAGATTATTAGTAATCATTATCCAAAAATATATTTTGGAATAATGCACAATAATTAACTAATCCAGTCACTGTTGTCACAAAGCTATTTTAAGAGATACTCTGGTATAAAAGGATTAAAAAATGTAAAACAGACTTCTTTACTGTGGAACCATTAAGCTATCGATGTGCTTATTATTAGGTAGCACCAGTGGCCTAGTGGTAAGGAACTGTGCTGCCCACATAAAGGCACATGCTTTGAATCCTCCAGCTGCTCCACAGAAGACAGACAATCTTCCTCCGCTGAGATTCAAGACCTCTGAAACCTTGCTGAAGGGTTCAGCTATGAGTTGGTTCTGACTCATTGGTATAAAACGACAACAGTAACAATCTACTACTAAAGCAAAATCTCTACCAAGCTACACTGAGATCTCTGGAAAACAATATGGTACTTAATAGACACAGTTAGCTATTCAATGAATTCAAATTTTAATTTAATAGAGTAAATTTACATATTAACAAAAATGGAAGCTACACTCCTTTAAAGTTTTCTAGAATGTAACTTTCCAACAGTTGAGAGAGACCTTCTCTCACTGAAAATGTAAACACGTTACACTGATGTTTGACAAATGCTACCATACAGTTTCTAACGTGCTGAGACAGAGACGTCTACTGCCACATGAAGAGAAACAAGCATCATCTTAGGTGGTTCTCCAAGGTCCACAAGCACAGAATTAGGTATTTTTATCTACTGAGGTAAAGAGCTGGGACCATCTGTAAAATTCTCTGGTAGCTGTACTAAAGATAACCCCACATACTCTACAAGACAGTGAAAAAAGTTTTCAGAATAAAAACCCCATTAAAAAAATATTCTTTCTGTTCCATTTTCTAAATCCAAAACCAGTGCTTACAGGGTCAACCATTAAAAGGTGCAATTCTACAGACAGCAGATTCCCCACCCTGTACCACTGTTTGCTCTTACCAATAAGGAAAAATGTTTGTGGAATAGTCACGTTTTCCACATTTCCCCTGTGGTTCTCATGCTTCCGTCGGCTCTCAAAGAAAATCAATGAAGGTGAATTTCCTAACACCCAGCAATCAGTACTTTCCCCAGGACCTATTACCTGTATGAGTTCGAAGATGAGCCTTGAGATGGGAACTCTTGAAGTAGGTTTTCCGGCAGCCTGGGAAGTTGCAGATATAGTTTCTCCTCCGGGAAAAGTCTACCTGAGGGGGACAGTTTTGGCTAGAGGCAATTAAAAACGGAGCAGGGGCAAGGGGCAGTAACCTGGTGTTCCCCACAGTCATCACACTCGAGGAGCAGGGGGCAGGTGCAGGGAGGGCCCCCTGCGGGAGCACCAGCATCATAGTTCCTTGAGGTATGGACGGTCTCAACATGGGCTGGCCAACTGGAGCAGTCTGGGGTAGAATGGGTCTGACCGCCCTTGCTGACGCTTGAGGAAAAGACTTCAGAGTTGGTATCATGCTATTTTGTCCGGTCACGGGGATCATTTGGCAAAGGACTGGGGGGCTGGGGACAGGAACAGAGATCAGAGGGGTGGCTTTCCTTGGCAAGTCATTGTCATAATTCTTTGGTGAGCAGTTTTGAACTGCCCGCTGGCCTTTCTCGGGGGGTGTGAGGCCACCAGGGTTGTGCAAGCTTGGCTGACAGGATACCGTGTTAGTGTTAAGCAAATGTAAACTGTCAGTGCGGCGTATGTCCTGAAAAGCATCACAATGTCCCAAAAGCTGTGCTTCTCCTCTGCTGCCGGAGAGTCCCTGTTGCTGAGTCTGAGATGCAGGAAGGTGGGCGGGTGCAGGGCTCTCCCCAGTGTGGCGGATCACACTCGTTACCATGGCTCTGCAGGGCAAGCCGGCAGCCGGCTCCGCTGGCTTTGCTGGCTTCGGCACCTTGGACTCGGGGCCAGGCAGTCCTCTCTCCTCCGCTTGGCTCGGCATGTGGACAGCCACAGCAGAGGTGGGGGCGGGGTTGGTGGCCATGCGTGTTTTGGAATCAGTTACATGAGAAGGAACAGGTGTCCCCATTGATGGTTCTATGAGATCTGGGCTTTGTGGAGGAGTCATGCACTGAAGAAGGAAAACAGAAAAAGGTATGTGTTTTTTTAAAAAAAAAACTGTTTCAGTTAAATTTTGAAAGTATTTTTAAATTTTAATTGTGTTGGCCACATGTCTTTATAAAGAACTATCTAGGAGAACCCAGTCTAAGTTTGCTTCCCAGGAGCCTTAATCGATGGATTTCAAAGCTGCACAAGACTTCTCCTTATTTTGCTGACCCATCTCCCGGGTACTCAGTCCACTATCTCTTTTCTTTGGTTTTAAGGCATGTTAGTACCCTGCCTCTCTAGGACCTAGACTACTACAGAAATGCACACTTTAAGCATTAGACCTTAAGATGAAAAATTTAGGGGCTGGTGGTAGAATAATAAGGTCACACAATGTGACGGGTGGGGGTGAAGGAAATGGGAAAAACCTGGTGTGAAAAACAAATGTATTCTAATGCTGTAAATAAATCGGTATAAAATAAACGTAAAACATTTAGACTTCAAAATGAGAGCTTTTCAAAATTTAAAAAAATAATCTCAGTAGTATTCATTTGAAAAATATATAATAAAAAATAATGATCACTTTAATACTCCTAGGCCAGACTCCAACAATTAATACAGTTTGCCAAATTCACCTTGAAGATCTACCACTTGCAGTGCTGAGGGGAACTACCTCTCTCCACCAACCTCAATTCCCTTTTGAGCTCTACGTCTACTTTCAAGTGCAGTTTTCTAGCCCAATTATATCTTAATTTTCACTTCTGTTAGCAACCTCAATGCCTCCAAGTTAAGCAATTTCTCAATTTTCCTAACTATAGCAAGTTTTTAAAAAACCCTGACCCCATAAAAAACAAAACAAATAAATAAAAAAACCCACCCTGTGTTTTGTACCCAGCTTGCAACTAAAAAGGCAGCAGTCAGGGTAAGGCAGGTAAGCCAGTATTTTAATGCAACTAAAACAGTCTTTTGCTTCTCCAGTTGTGTCCACAGATCCTAGTCACCAGGGTATAAACCTAAGCACCCATCCTGATTCCCCAGAGAAAGGAGAACATTTCACTACCTTCTATCAATTAGTAAACAGCAACCAGTGGCTGGCAAGCTATGACTCCTCAATGAAAAGAGACCACATTTTCAAGAATTCTTCAACCCATTTAACGAAAATTAATTAAAAAAAAATCCTTTCACCACATCTCTTCTTACCAGAGTTGACAAAGAATGGAAGTCCTTTGGTAGCTCAGGTGTGACTGTATCCACAGGCATAGTGGCGGTGAAATCCCCAGATTCAGAGACAGGTGTCAGGGGTCTTATCTTTAATAGGTCACCTTTCTGGCTTCTTTGACCCCAAGAGCTCATACAAACAAGAGCCTCAACAGCTTCAATGTCTGTCTGCTCCAAGATACTGCATCTAGACCGCTTACTGTCATGCTGCTTCCTCTCCAGGATAGATTCACATATGTCCATGATGTCAACCTAAAGACAACACAACCAGGCTCTCAGTCCAAGTGAAAAGATGAGGATTTCAATGTAAGTGAAAAGGAGTGATGCAAACCCCCGAAAGCCACACTGATCTGCACACCAGGAGACTGCACATGCCTGGAACACACACAACAGGTCATACACTGAAAAGTGTTAAAAAAAAGATAGACAACTTTGCTTTTATATCAATGTTCTGAAAAGAGAAAGATGATGGCTGAACTGGTGAAAAATATCCTAGAAAACTGCCTCTCAAATAGGTTAATTAAGTTCACAAAAGAAATAAATATTTAAAAATAAAAAAATGTTTTAGGCTCACATTTTTCTTTGGGAGAAGATTAACAACACTTTAATCCCAGATGAATAATCCAAAGTAGTTAGTATGAAAACTGTCCCTTTTAAGGCCAAAAAAGATGTTCCCAATACTGAAAAAGTACCTTGCCCTCTGGTATTTTTCTCCTGGACAGGTGAGATCAGAGCACACTCTAAGTTGGCATGGGGCATTTATGGTTTTGCAGGGGCGTGTGTGTGTAAAACTCTCTGGCATCTTCAGAACTAACCCCATAAAGTCAGGTCATCACCACATGTAGAACTTTCAGTTCACAAACCCAAACATGCTCTGGAAAAGCAGAATCCATGCATACTTAGCCTTGTTTCTCAAGTCACTTGTTACTACTAAAAGGCTAGCAGATGGAAGAGGGAACTCTGGTGGCCTAGTGGGTAAAAAGTGGCACTGCCAACTCAAAAGCATGCAATTCAAATCCATGAGCCGCTCTGCAGGAGTAAAATGGGTAATCTACCCTGTGGTTTATAGCCTCTCAAAACTGCTGGGACTCGGCTACCAGTCTGTTTCCTATGAGTCCTGAGTCGGTGAGGGCAGATTATAACAGTAAATAAAAGAGAAAGAACTTTCAAGTAATCTACCACAACACAGTCAAGATCATTTTCTATTATCACACCACCTCCTTAAAAGGGGAGTAGGGGTGTAAGGGGAAGCGGCTGGAATAACACAATCTCTTCCCAAAGTTATTTTAAATTGCCAAGATCCAAATTTCCACTATGTCTTATTAAAACTTTCTGGTTGGCCCAGGACTCCACGTCCCACTACTCCCGCCCTGCATCAAGCAGGTAAGGAAAGGACAATGTCCTAACAACTGTCATTCTGCCTAACCTCTAAGATAGTGAAATCACATTAAGTGGGTTTCTCTGCCTGCGACCTGCGAGGCCTAGCACACGAGTGACTGGCCCAAGGCCTCCCAGAGTCCCGGGCAGAATCCAAGCCACAGGCTCCTGATGCGGGCGGCCCCAGATTGGCCTCCGGCCTATCAATATGTGTGACTGTGCCAGAAGTCAACCCAACCGACCTCTCCTGAACTGAAAAGGTCCTCTGCACTGAAACGGGGGGGGGAGTGTGCTCAAGGGTCGAAGACAGCTGAACCTTGGGCAGCTGCAAAGGCGCAAGCGGTCCCCGCGAAGCAACGAGTGCCCCACCCCGCGCCTAACAGCGTGGGGCGTTCCCCTCCCCCGCCCCGCCGCGCCCCAGACCCAACCGCCACCCCTCCTTATAAGGGCCCGGATGACGTCATGGCTGGAAATAGCCCCGCGCGCCGGGGGCCGGGCGGGGGCGGGCCCGCATCCAGCCAGCGCGAGACAAAGCTGCGCATCCGGCGGCCCGGAGCACACGCCCCCTCCTCCCGACTCCGCCCCGCCGCGACCCCGAGCCGATCGCCTCCCCACGTTCCTCCACCCCTTCCCCGCCAGCCCTCCACGCGCCGGCCGAACGACCTCGGGCACGCCCGCCCGGGACCCTAACGGTGCAGACGCGGCGAGAAGCGCAAGCATCCTTTGCGGGCACCTCCTGGCTGCTGCCCGCGTCCGGCACTCCTGCCGCTGGTCATCCTCCCGCACAACCTGGCCAACCAGCACCCACAAAGGCTGCCGCGCCCTCCGCCGCCGGCCTCACAGGATGCTCCCTCTGTCCTGCCAGCCCTAATCAACTCACCGCGCTCGCGTCGCCCGTCCCGGTGGAACCCGACATGTGCATGGTGCTGGCGGTCAAGAGGCAACAAAGCGGCCGTGCAGCGTGTGCTCGGTGCACGGCGGCTGAGCATGTGAGGCCGGCCGGCAGCTACCCGAACTCTGCACCAGGCTTGGAGCAAACTGGTGTTGCTAACGCGCGCCGCCGCCCACGCGGATCTGCCGCGGCGTGGCTCTTGAGGCACAGGGCGGGGCGGGGCAAGAAGGGGGGCGGGAGGCGGAGCGCAGGAGGCAGGCCGGGGGAGGGAGAGGGGCGGGGCGCCCAGTCAAACCAAAATACACCGCGCCCCGCCTGGGAGGAAGCGGGGCGGCGAGCAGCCAATCCACGCTTGGCCCGTGTGTGGCCAGCCAATGAGCGCTGTGGGGAGCCGCGTGATCAGGGCCTGGCTGCGGCGTGATCTGGCGGGGCGGGATACGGCTCGTGTTTTGGTCGGAGCGGGGGGGCGGGGTTTGAAGCCCTGGAAAGTAGGGGAAAGGTCCCGGCGGCCGTGTCGGCGGCTGTGGCGGGAGCACCGCGGTGGCGGGGGTGGCGCTGCTGGATCCGCGGGAAGTCCCCGGCGCCTGGTGGGCCGGGCTGCGGCCAGCGAGAGAGGGGGCCGCCTTTAGAGCGTCTGCCCGTAGCGGGTCGGAGCGCCTTTGTAGCCTGCCTGCGGAGCACCGGTGTGGGGAATTCACCCAATAAGGACGAGCCACCTGGATGCCCTAATTCAGCTTTTTGCTTTTAATTTTCAGTAATACACTTTCAGCTTTTGGAAGTGCATCCCTGACTAGGAAAGAGGTTTGACAGCTGGTTGGCTCCAGCTGACTTTCCTGCCTTGGCTCCTTTATTAGAAATTTTTAATAGTGGTCAAAAAAAGGGACCGAGCGCGCACAGCCTAGTTCTAGACCTGCTAGTGCCACTGTGACGCCCCTCCCCTGGCGTCTCTGAACAAGGAGAGCATGAATGCAAGGGAAGTTCAAGATCAGTAATCATTTGCAGTGTGCCTGATGAAACTCACTCGAGCTGACCTACTAGCGGGATATGGGAGAGAGAGCTCTGTTGGCTTAGTGGTAAGAAGCTGTGCTGCAATCCCCAAATCATGTAGTTCGAATCCACCAGTTGTTCCTTCGGAGAAGGATGGGTAATCTCCTACTCTGCTGTTTACTGCCTCTGAAAACCGCCGCCGGAGGTTCAGCTATGAGTTGATTCCGACTCGAGCGCACACAGCAAACATGAATAGCACAGGAAAAGATTGCCCATCTTTCTCAGAGGTGCTAGGGGATTCGAACTGCCAGAGGAGAGGTGCGGCATTTGGGTTAGCAGTACAATTCCTAGAGGAGAGGCAACCAGCGGGTCCTCGTTTTGTTGTTGGTTTGCTTTGTTTTGGGTTTTGGGTTTTTTTTTTCAGGCTTTGTGGAAGTGCCAGCCATGTAGGGAAATCCTCAGGTCTGAAAGAGACCCTCCTACTTCAGCTGAAGATGTTTCTTTGGGTGATCTGTCCTCTGCTCTCAGTTCATGGACAGCAGGACCCAGGAGGCTTTTTGGGGGTTTTTGGTGTGGGTTTTGTTGGGGTGTTGTTGGTTTTTTTTCTTTTGTACCATTACAGCCTGAAGCACAGAAGGCAGCATTCCTTCTGTCTTCAGCTCAACGCACATGTCCTGAACCCTGGTGGTATGAGCTTGGGTGTTTGGAAACTGTTAGTTGCTGCACAAATAGCAAAGTTGACAGTTGGAACTCACCAAAGACTGTGTTGTTGTTGTTGTTATGTGCCTTCGAGTCGCTTGCGACTCATAGCGACCCTATGTACAACAGCCCTAAACTCTGCTCTGTCCTGTGCCAATCGCACTCTGCCACTCCCATCCCGATTTCCCCAGTCACTGAATCAATCCACCTCATAGAGGGCCTTCCCCTCCTGCGCTGTCCCTCCACCCTCCCAAACATGATGTCCTTCTCCAAGGACTGGTCTCTCCTCACAACATGTCTGAAGTATATTAGATGGAGCCTCAGAATCCTTGCCTCCAAGGAGCCACCCGGTTTAACCCTTTCCAGGACAAATCTGTTTGTTTTCCTAGTAGTCCATGGTATTCTCAATACTCTTCTCCAGCACCACAGATCAAAGGCATCAATTCTCCTTCTATCCTCCTTGGTCATTGTCCAACTCTCTGATGCATACCAAGTAATTGTGAAGACCATGGTCTGTATCAAACGCACCTTAGTCTCCAGAGAGCCACCATTGCTCTTCTACTTTGGAGAGGTCCCTAACAACGGACTTCTCATGGCAATGAGCCTTTTAATTTCCTGGCTACTGGTGCCAAGAGTGTTGACTGTGGACCCAAGCAAACTAAAACTGTGTACAATCTCAATCTCTTCACCATCCATCCTGATGCTGCCACTTGGTCCAGTGGTGAGAATCTTTGTCTTCTTGACATTGAGCCTCAATCCATATTGTAGGCTGCAGTCCTTGACACTGCAGCAAGCGCTTCAGGTCCTCTTCAGTTTCAGCAAGCAGGGTTGTGTCATCCGCAAAGCGCAGATTGTTGATAAATCGTCCACCAATCTTGACCCCACATTTCTCCTCATAGAGCCCAGTCCCGGATAATCTGTTCTGCAAACGGGTTGAAAAGGTATGGCGATAGGATGCATCCCTGATGTACGCCCTTCCCAATTTTGAACCATGCAGTGTTCCCTTGCTCTGTTCTCACGACTGCCTCCTGGTCCAAGTATACGTTTCGCATTAGCACGATAATTTCAGAACCACCAAAAATTAGCTTTGGAAAACTCACAGCCTTGAAAACTCTTGGAGTTCTTCTCTGCATAGGGTAGAGTATGGTCTTCAGGAATTGGAATCTACTCAATGTGGTAACTAAAAGCACTCAAGTTGTTATTTACCATCTTGAGTCTGATCAGAACCAACTAACTTACAGCTGACCCTCCAGGAGGTTTTCAGAGACTGTTAATTGCCCGGGAGAAGATT